TATATCTTTTGGTAGCTGGGCACCATCCGCTTTCTTCACCACATTTTCTTGTGCACCCATTGTCTTCAGCGATCGTGCCAGGCAGGTGAGCATCTCAGACTGCCGAATTGTTAGAACAAAGTGTTCTGGTGTTGGGGGAGTCCAGCACATTTTTAATGCAGTTTTTGTGGTAAGATTAGGTGCCTCGACTGATATTCGGGTCAGCTTATACTCGCATATGTACGGTAGTTCCCCTTCTTACATTATCAGATATCATCTTCTCATCTATGTAGTGTAGTTTATGTCAACTATAGGATTATGAATTGTAGTGCCATAGGAGGATTACAGATGTTTAAAACGCATTTGCCTATCTTGAATTGTATGCTTTTCTTGTAGAAATTTTAAGGGTTAGGAATCAAGAAGCCAATGACCGGTGAAGGATGTAAAAAAAGGCCTTTCTAAATCTTACTTGCAACCAGGCAAGACAAACTGAAGTTTAGCATAGAATTTTCTGTTTTCTTGCTTTTTGTCTTAAAAAAATGCTGTACTGTACTGAGCTAGCCCACATTAAAGCAACCATTGCAGCAGTAATGAGAGCTGGCCTAGCATTCATTGGCTATCTGCAGTCACATGGCTGCATCCCCTTTGGGTAATACTCTGGGGGATATTTACCATTTCGCAGTGGTGGGAAGGGGAACGTTCTCTCCAGTCACCATGTACTTTCCTGTTGTCAAAAGTAAATAAAAGTTATTAAGTAGAAGTTGGCTTATAGTACACTGAAGGTACAAAATGAAGTTAATATCAAATCTTTATTAAGGGGAGGGAAGGTAAAAATGCCACTTGTAGTCTGCTGTGTAACTTTTGTGGTATGAACATGGGCGATGCCTATGAAGAGCCCGAGCAGTACCTTTTGACCGTGACCTAAGTACCATGTACACTCGAGTACATGCCAACCCGAATATCAGCTGAGGCACCTAATTTTACCACAAAAGCTGCATAAAAAATGTGCTGAGAAACTCGGCGTATACATGAGTATATACGGTAGATAACCAACAAGTAGATAATCTACAATCAATGTATGAAATACTAGAGATAGCTAAATATAATTTAGTATATCCGTAACATCACATACTTATGGTGAAAATTTTAAATCGGGTTTAATAACCTAGGGAAGCAGGGTGAGATTTAAAAAAATGATTTCATTAGGGGTTCTTACAGCTCTTATAACAATCCATACATCAGTTGTATCAAGCACACTTGTACATATGTTACCATCTTCATCTGCTTTCTACTTGAGTCCTTGGTATCAACTCCTTTTTTTTCCTTCCCTCCGCAGTGAAATATTAATGAGGAAAAAAATTTTAAAGCTAAATTAATCGGATGATCTGGTCTCAAATAAATATAAAAGAATAATAAAAATATTTGGAACACACTATTCCAAGTTGTGAACATTATGAGTCATAGGTTTTTTTCACGTATGATACTTTTTGCTGTAGTGATTATTATTTAATTTTCCATACCGAGTACAAACTTTTCGTGCAAGCATTTGTTTCATATAATTTCAGAGTTACAGAGAAGTTAACAAAATGAATTTATGCTCCCTTTATCAAGACTCATCAGTTGATTACATTTTGCCCCATTTGCTTTATTGTTTTTTCTCCCATTTCATTAATACCTACCTTCCTGCACACACTCGCACACTATGAATAGGTATGGTTTTTGAACCATTTAGAATAAATGAGTTATCACTGAATATTTTAGTTTGTTACCTAAGAAGTATATTCAGATTTTTTTGTTTTGTTTTTAAGTGTATTCTTAAAATCAAGATGTTTAATGTTGATGGAATACTCATGCTACTTTTTAAATTAGAAAATAAAATATTTGGGATAGGCTACATTCTGAAGCTTTCTAATTGTCTGGTCTTGGCACAAGGGACTCCATTTTGAATCCGGCACCTTCTTGGTTCTCAGAACTCACCTCTCATGGGCCTCCCTCACATTGGCCTCCCCTCCCCTCGCTGAAAATCACCAGTTCTGAGAACCAGATATCCCCGAGAAAGAATGTTCTTTGAAGATATGTTTACTTCACCTGCCTCGGTACCTATAGATAAGATTAACGACCACTTCCCTGCATCCCTTGAAAATGTGTTTATTCCACCCATCCCGGACCTATAGATAAAATTAATGAGCGCTTCCCTTTGAAGTCCCTGTATGCAGCTGTGCCTGCCACCAGGGGATATAAAAACGCAGCCAGAAATTCCCCTCGCGCGGTTTCATTAGCTCAATACGTGAGTTCTTGAACCCGTCCGCAAGCTTCTCAATAAAGCCTGCTTCTAAAACTTTACCAATTGGACCTTTAATTCCGCTTCGCGCCCCAAAAACCCTTACACTAATGAGCACTAATTTGTGTTTGTATTTTTTAAAGGGAGAAGTTTATTAGAGCTTGGAGGCAACAATGCCATCATTGGTAAGACTGGTTGTTACTTGTTTTATTTTCTCTTCACAATACCCGTATTAGCCTATGTGAATATATAGAACTTGCTGAGGCATTTAACCCTGTACGCAGTAACTTCTCTGTGGCACATGCTTGAGGCATAATTCCTGCATTGACCTTTTACTTGGGAGCCGGCAGAGGCCAGCACATGTCACCTCAGGTCTGGACCTCCGTGATGCTGTTGTGTTTTTCCTTGAAACTGTGGCTGTAAGTTTCTAGAAGGCATAAAGGAGGGAAGAATTACAAGTATAGAAGTGGAAGGGCCAGCTTTGTAACTACTGTGTTAAATAACTGAGGGCAGAAGGACATCGACACAAACAGAGAGGAATCAGGAAGTGACCTTGCCCGATCTCTTCAGAGGAGGAGAGACGTGTGGAGGGGCGTTGGGTGTGACGTGAAGTCAACTGGCGGCAGGAGTGAGTACTTGGTCGCAGATCTGGACAAGCTAGAGGGAGAGGCATGGAAGGGAATCTGCTGATGACACCGAGGGTGTAGATACTGCTGGAGAGCATGGTCTGGTAGCAGTGATGATCAGGGGGTGACATTGCTTTCTCTGTTGCCTGTGGCCCAAAGTGCTGGCATCAGAATGGGCCTTGAGGGTGCTGGCACAGGCCACTAGAGTGGAAAGGTTGATGGGCTTGGAGAAGCGATCCCTTGTGGCTGCAGAGGCCCTCTCGTCGGTGTCCGAAACGAGGAGAGGGGAGGAATGGAGAGAAGCCCTGCACATCTGTGTTGGGTAAAGACAGTAAGCTTGTTGCGCTAGTCCAGTTCTCATAAAATCCCCCCTGGAAGAGAAGCATGATCGATTTTTCCTAATGGACATGTGTGCCTCTGTAATGTGAGCGTGGTGAATTGTGCAGGGTGGATTTCACATTCCCTTACTACACTTTCTCATGCGTCGTTTTACACCACTTGGCAAATACCTAGTCTGCCTGCTTTGCCACACTGATGGGTGCTGTCCTTCTCCAAGCTTTCGAGGATGCGGACCTCAGCTTAGTGGTGCCGTCAGCTCTCTTTGCAGCCGTGGGGACAGCTGGCCAGCGGTGTACGACAGCGAGGCGCCTGGTGAGTGTGTCTGCAGAGGCTAAGGAGCCTGTCTTGTCTTTAGACACCACTGTTGACTAGTTGCGACTGTTAACGAGGAGGACTGCTAGAACCAAATGTATCCCTAGATGTGGTTGGTAAAGAGCAGGGGGCTTCCACATTTTTCATTTCATTTTCCACGAACTTTTTAAAGCTCCCTTGCAGGTGGCCCTGCTGTTTTCTTTAGTGTTTGTCAGTTAACTGACTCCCTTTCCCCACCCACCTTGAAAGTGGTCTTATGACTTATTAATTGTAGTTGATTGGAGCTGCGACTGGGGAATGTTTTCATTCCTATTCAAAGACCACTACAAAGCCTAACGTTGTTTAGAGAATAAAACAGACTAAAGAAAATAAGAAATTGTAAAACTATTTGCCTAAAGGTAGATAGCCTAGCCTTTCGTATTAAAACTTTAAAAAGATTTTAATTTTTGACATCTTATGTCTTAAGCTTTGACTTGATGTGACATGTTTTATTGAAAAGCAATTTAGTCTTTATGTGCTTCCTATAAATAGAGAATTTGTACATCCATAACATATAACTGTCTCTGCTTATCTACAGAGCAGATCATTTTAAGCGTTTATAAGGAGATTGAGTGTGCAGACTTAGCAAACTTAATCTCTATACTTAGATTCAAGCTGGATTTTGTGGAGCATTCTTGATTCTCACGACCCTCTTAAAGTTTGGGAAAATTATGCATACCACAACCAAGCAAATTTTGACTAGGGATAAGGTTTGTCTGCATTTGCTGTTTTTCGTTATTGAAGAAATTCTTCCTGAAATTGGAAACAAAGGAAAACTCACAGTTGATTTACAAAGGACTTGGTTGACTCTCACGCACTTTGGTTTAGGTTGACACACCTAAATTGAATGGAATAAGTTAAAAGACATGAATAATTCTATATTTAGCTTTCCTGTTTCATTTTTATTTTTTTGTGTCTCAGAAAATGAGAATTTTAAAAAATGTTTCTGTTCTTTAAAAACATCTATGATGAGGATCATAAAGTAGTATATTAAGATGATCATCATAAAATAATATACTAATTTGTTCACTTTAGACATATATCCCCTTAAGGCTAAGAGGAGACCAATTGAATCGAGCTGCCGCCAGGGCCCTTGGAGAGAAAAGATTGTTTGTACCTTTACTTGTGGTAAAGGCAAAATGACACGAAACACAACCATTTCCTCATTCATCTGACATTTATTTTTTCTTTGTGTATTGGCGCAAATGTACATAGACATGCTTTTATGTGTCATACAAGCAAATACGATTCATTATTGCCTAACTATTTCCAGAAGGAACCCTGGTCACATAGCGGCTACACATGGAACTGCCAAATCACAAGGTCAGCAGTCTGAAATCACCAGCCACTCTGTGGAAGAGTGAAAAGGCTTTCCATGCCCATGAAGAATGAGTCTCAGAAACCAACAGAGGTCGCTCTTTGTTCTAAAGCGGTGGTTCCCAACCTTCCTCAGGCCGCCACCCTTTCAGGCAGTTCCTCATGTTGTGGTGACCCCCAACCATAACATTATTTTCATTGCCACTTCAAAACTAATTTTGCTACTGTTATGAATTGGGCGACCCCTGGGAAAGGGTCGTTTGACCCCCAAAGGGCTTGCAACCCCCTGGTTGAGAACCGCTGTTCTATAGGGTCGCTATGAATTGGGATCAGCTTGAGTCAATGAGTCTCCTTTTCTTTCATAAGCCTTGAGGGACTGAATGTTTAATGTGAACAAATTAATATATTTTAAGTACTTTATGATCATCATCTTAGATTTTTTTTTAAGAACTGGGAAATGTAAAAAAATTTTTTTCATTTTTTTATAAAACAGAAAAAAAATGAAACAGAAAAGGTACAGACAGAATTATTCATGTCTTTTGACTTATTCCACTTAATTTAGCTATGTCAGCCTTATTCAAATTGACTAGAGGTCAATGAGTTTTGGAGGTCCATTACTACCCAATCTAATTTTCATAGGGAGAGTTAGCTGTGTGTAGGAAAACAACATTTCCAGGAATGTGGACTTTTCCATGCCTAGTTCTTATGATGTCAAGTCTTTGATCATGGGGAGACCAACTCAGAGATTGGATCTTACCTGGTGTGAGCCCACAGGCCACTCTCATGAGCTCCCAAATTCAACTGCAGATGGGAAATGTGGGGCTAATACTACCACAAAAAAAAAGGAAAATATTTTAAAATGGATTGTGGTGATGATTACACAACTCTCTTAAATGTAATTAAATGAATAAGTGATAAGATATGTGAATTATAGGTAAAGAAAACTGTTAAAAAATACACTCTGGAGACCTACTTGTCCAGAGTCTAAGTGCAATATGCACATGTGCAATCATATGCACATCAGAGGTAGCGTGATCCGTGCATTGTAGTATTTGTTCACTGCCACTTGTACAGCTGTGTAGTATTAAATAAAATTGTCTCTGGGGGGTGAGGGGCCAGCCCCCACCCGCTGATAACTCCTATGAGTTCAGTGATACTACTTCTGGGTTCAGTAATGCACAATTGTACGGTTGAGATATATAAGTATTATATTAAAGTCATCAAGAGCATGAGAGATAATACAATAATACAGTCAGGCATGATACATAGCAACATTGCTCACCTCAGCCCAGCTTGGTGGTCCACGTGGAGAGAGGGGGAAGGGAAGGAGGGTAAGGGAACAAGGGAGAGGGGAGTGACCAGGGAGTGAGCAGCAAGGAGCTCAGAGTCAGAGAGGGAAGTCCTGCTGACTCACACCTATATACCTTTTGGGGGCAATCCAGCCCACTAATTACAGGTAAAGACATACGTCACAGGAAGGGGCTGCACTATAGGTTATACAGCAATGAGTGGGTGGTCTAGGGGTTGGTCTCTGGGTCTTCATAGGAACATTATCAGTAGGGTGCAAACCCCACCTAGAGGAACCAAGCTAATGGTCCCAAGCTTCAGAGAGAAGTAGGCCATTGTCTCCAGCAGCAGGGAGCAGACCCACCCCCTTGGTGGGATGAGACAGCAGTCTGGCAGCAAGGATCTGACTTCCCCCCACACAGCTGTACTGTGGAGAATTCTCTGATAAGTAAGGCAATTGCTCTAGGATGGAACCAGAAATAGTTGGCTGTGATACTTAGCCCAACAGGCCCTGAGAATTATGATAAAAATATAGCATATGATGTTATTTTTAACATCTACTTGGAGGAAGTTGCCAATTTGATGACAGTTAATATGTAACTGTTCAATTGTATTGCTTTGTCTGTCTACAGGACAGACATATCATTTTAAAAATTCAAATAATTAAAAAACAAGAACAAAACATTTGGTTGCAATTGCAGGAAAGGTCAGCAGTTCGAATCCACCATCCACTCTGAGGGAAAAGATGAGGCCGTCTACCGCTACAGAGATTTATAGGCTTGGAAACCCTAGATTAGAGGTTCTATGAGTAGGAATTTGATTGGATGACAGAGGATTTTTTTTTTTTGGTTTGCTTCTGCTAGTTTATGTTTTCAGAGATCATAATATTTGAAGAACTGTTAAAAGCTTAATCCACACAATTAACAACAATATAGTTGCTAAAAGTGTGTATATTTATTTTACTATTCCCGTGAATAATATCTCTTTTATTTCCCCCACGTAGTTTCTGCATGAAAGCATCCATGATGAGGTGGTAAATAAACTTAAAAAGGCGTATGCACAGATCCGTGTCGGGAACCCATGGGACTGTGAGTGGTGGTTCGATTTTTAAAGATTTTCCCTTTGGTCACTGAAGTTACAGCATTTCCCATTTCCTAAGGGAAATGCTTTGTTGTTTTTTAATATTTTGCATTGGGGGTTGATACATCTTGTGCTCCCAGCACTAGGGCCCTGAGTACTTGATGTGAGTTAGTGGTGGAACTAGGACATCTTCTCCCTAAGCTGCTGTTTGAGATGGGATGAGATTTGACTAGTTTTTCTATCATTGTTACTTACTCTCAATTAGGCCATCATGATAAGAGGCTGCAAGAATCCCCTCTGACGAACTTGGTTTTGCTTCTACTTTTTCCTCCCTGAGTTATTTTAAAGGCTGTCGTGAGGTCCTTCACCCTCCTGCTGAGCACACGTTAATGATCTCTCTTTGCTCTGTGACTAAAACCTAGATTTCTTCTTTTTCAGCAGGCTCACAATCTCTCCTGACCCGACCTCTGCCTGCTTCCTTGCCTACCTTCTTCCCTCCTGGCGTACCATTTGCCCCTTGTTCCCTAAATGCCTACGCTTTGACTTTCGGTCGCTGCGCCAAGCTTTCCAGGCCATGCCCTACTGCTCCCTTTCCTGGGAAATGTCTTCACCCAGATCTTTCCATTTCCAACCCTCTGCAAAGAGCCACCTCCTCACAAACCCCTACTAATACCTGTCTTCTTCCTCTATCCTTGCTCTGGTTCCCGGCAGCCATAACCCAGGGCAGCTTCACTCTCCCCCCTTGAACTGCCCACCAACTGCTGAGCCGGTGAAGTTTCTTAAGACTGGTCATGCTGGTCATGAACTTATGGATCCTATAGTCATGCCTCTGTTCCCGTGGCCAGCAGATTTGGCTCGCCCCCCTGTTGCTGTAAGTAAAGTTGATCGGAACACAATCACGTCCGTTCATTACGGTACCTTGTCTGGGACTGCCCTCGCGCTGCAGTGGCAGAACGGAGTAGTGGCGGCAGTCCCACAGGAATTGTGCAAAACCGGAAGAATTTGGACCTGTTAGAAAGAACGATTGCTAACTCCTGTCTGAAAGGAGAACTTCTCTGAGGGGACTGCTCTGTTCAGTGGGAAACCTGCCGTGATGCTAAAACGATGCTCTGTTGGGCAAAACGATAAAAAAGTCTCCCTTTTCCCTCTCCAGCTAATGCGCTCTATGGGCCGCTCCACACCAAGCAGGCAGTGACCATGTTCCTGGGGGCAGTGGAGGCCGCAAAGGAAGAAGGGGGCACCGTGGTCTGCGGAGGCAAGGTAATAGAAATGGCCT